AGTATTATATATGGCCGCCGCCGCGGCGAATGAATCCGTGACGTCACGCGCAATGTCAAGAACCACCGTAACTAGCGAACGAATAGTCGCAAATGAATTTTAGTAGTATCATTATCTTAGTTAGACTCTATTCTATTTATTGTGGTAATAAAATAATAATTGATTTTTTGAGTTGGATGGTCCTTTAATGGTCTTAACATTGTGTTCGTAATATAGTTATTAGTGATATTTCATATTTCGTGATTTTATTTTTATTGATAAAACTATATTATTAGCAAAAACCATTTCACACATCCTTCTCACTCCCGTGGTGGCCAACACTATACGTTTTCTTGTTACCACATTGGTTTGTCCAGATTTTTAAATATTTTTTATTGATCTAACAAATCTTTGGACGTAAATAACTATAGTGTATTCAATACGTACACCAGTCGTTATTTCTTTTGGCAATAATTTATGCCATTATTGATTTCAATAATTTATGCCATTATTGATTTAACCAGCTAGTATGTATTTAATTAAATCCACTTTATTCAAATGAATAAAAAAATCGTATTTTGGTTACAATATGGCTTTTGAAAATGCATACGGACGGATGATCTTAAACAGATTTTCCAAAATGAATTCCCAATTTTAACGCTTATGTGGTTAATCTAGTAAAATAACTTGTTTCATTATTTTACTCCAGTTTCTAGTTATTTATGTTATTACACATAAAACACTAACCGAGGTCGGCGAACCATCGATTATACAGTTGCGTGTTACTCTGTATTTTGTATATTATTGTCTAATAAAGTAGCTATATATATTTATTTCAATTTGAAATAAAACTCCAATGCACTAAAAAACATAATTTATTGGCAATTGTTTCAGTTGGTGAATATCGAAATACAACCAGAACCGCAAGAAAAATTATCAGTCACAACGTTCAGAATCGTTGCTAAAAAACACGTAAGATTTTTCTTTATTGATCAAAATTCAATCATGTTAACTTTATTTTAGATAAAAAAAATCATACATTTAACTGTTTTGTATTTGTTAAACTATCTCGACCACAGCGGCGTTCAGTTTCTAAACAATCTGAATTTGTATATAAATATATCTACAGTTTCTGGATATATAGTATTGTTAACGAGATTTATAATAATTTATAGATTCYTGGATGTAAATTATTAAGTTTGTTTTTAACAAATAGTGGATATTTTTTTGTAACTCATTACAATAATTATAATACTCATAATAAATTTGTCGTATCGGTTAGAATCGCGCGTAATTATACAAATTCATATTCGTGATCTTACAATGGCGTTGCTATAAATTTAGCGTAGTTAATTTTCCAAACGATTATGACGGAAAAATTATGTTTTTTGTTGTTCTTGTCTAATCAGATCGTAATGTAATAATATTGTATTTTTGCAGTTGGACAACGTCACAGTTGTGGAAGTATTGCATGGATCTACAGTAGATCAATCTTACGACGATCTGGTTCGTAATATACATGTCGTACACATCATTAATAAAAATATTGTGTTTTCGATTGTTAACATACGTTAATTCGTTACTTAATCTGTCATTTCAGGACAATGTTGGGCTACCGTCGTTTTCTTCGACCCCCATACCAGAAGACTCTGGACGGTTTCAATTCAACAACAGCCGTAACGAACAAAATCTACTGGTAAGCCGCCACTCCACTACACCGGTGTCTCGATACATATTTTTCAAACCGAATTGCTTACTAATAGAATTGTGGTGTGACTTGCACACTTAACGTTTTCAGAGTACGACCCTGTGTCAAGAACAGCAAACGTCTGGTGCCGATGAGCACAACAGCAAACGGTTTTCCAACATGTTGACGATCAAAGACGTACCGTACGCGAAATGGCTAAAGGGCGCTGTTAAAACATTGACGTTCTTGTGCGTGAACGGTGACTGTTTGATGATGAGAGACCATCTGATCGACGATACACTGGCGGATTTGGAAGCAAAAATCCAAGAACACTGCGTAACCACTACCAATCCGCTGTACACGCCAGCCGAAAACGAACTATGTCTGGCCAAGTACAGTGAGTAGTAGGGGATCGATCGCGACGCCCGACATTGATAACCTGCACTTACATTCCACTGTTATCATATTAACGTTTTGAAAATATTATCTTTTGTCTTGTTTTAGTTGACCAATTGTGGTATAGAGCTATATGTGTGAAAGTCCCCAACGATTTGGATGAAGACGACAACGGCTATATGGTTTATTTCTTGGATTGGGGAATGGAGTATTTGACAAACGTCGAAGACCTAAATAAAATGCCCAAGGACTTTATCTATCTACCAGCGACAGCCCATAAGTGTTACGTAAAAGGTGCGTTGTATATAAAAATATCATAGGGGTTCAGCCCCTCTTCCCTATAGACTTAAAACTATGATAGTTGTAATGCTGATATAAATATTTTGTATGAACATTTTTAAATATCGTATGCACCTAGGTAAATTTGTATTTTAAAAATTTTAATGTTCATAACATAAACTAGATCGTAATTTACTTACGAGAATATTGATATTTAAAAAAATTGTAACATATCAGCTATTTGACTTGTTTGTGACCAAATTTGTACCATAGACATTTTTCTCAAAATAAGATTTACAAAATATTTACAAAATCAAAATTTATTAAAAAATAAAAAATGTAGCGGAAGTATCTACGTATTATATTTATAACAATTTTTTTTTA